AGGCTTGATTTTTAATAATCTTTTCCTGTTAAATAAATAAATCAAATCAAATAAATTATCGCATAATAAACACTTAATTTTTAAATTGTTTACAGATTAATTAATAACTTATCTATAAACTCTTTAAAAGCCATCTATAAGGGGGGCCTTATTGTAAAGTGGTACCTTTTTTAAAATATATACATTACATCACAAGTGTTTGAAGTGTAAAATGTAGACACTGGGAATTTGTGTGAAAGGATGTTGAACAAAGACTTGACTATGAGYATTGTGGCCCCCTTGCCCCTTACCCAGAAAATCCTAGATCCGCCACTGCATAAAATAAATGTAGAGAGTTTTAAAAAATAGCGTTCAAACCACCATGAAGCTTTTGAGATTTGAGATGTTTTAAGACATCAGTCAGACAACCTAGTCACTTTGGAATCAAATTCTATGGCTATAAATATCCTCCACCTGTTCACTATCAGTCATTTTATAGCGGTGTTAGAGTTTTTATCCTCTATTTATTGCACTTATAATATATTATAACTTTATAAGGGGTTAGTTGTGGTTATTTCATCATTTTGAAGTCTTTATGCTAAAAAAAAMCACAACTAGTTAATCACAGACAATTATTTTCTTGATTAGGAACACATACACAATTCAATGTATTTAAATTATCTATAGTTCTTATTTTAGTGGGGAAAACCACTCATTTACTTTTAGGGTTAAATATAAGCAGCTCCTGGTTGAGAATCAAATAAGTCTGGCTGTGAAGTAAACACAGCACATAATCTTAACTTTAAATACAACATTTGGCAAATGGAGATGTTTTAAACTTGTCAGCAGTTTCTTCATTTATTTACATATAAATGGTTTATTTTCACAGCAGGATTTAGGTTATGTAGCGGAGCAGAGACAGAAACGGTTTTWTTCATATATTTTTAAACCAGCAGTCTGTCAGTAACGGTCTGGATCCACAGGTCTCTGCAGGATTCTGTGCTCCAGCTGCAGACTGTGATCACGGCTCCGTGGATCTCTGTGGAAACGACTGAACACGACGCTCCTGTGGGGCTCCGTGGAGCCGCGCGGTGTTTGGTGTAAGAATGAGGACAGGGTTGGTCCTTACCTGAGCAGATCTTCATCTCCGGGTCTCTCGGCACCGACGGAGCTCAGCTCTCCACCGGATGTGTTCTCTGTCTCGGTTCTGCCGAACCTGCTTCCCAGGGAGGGTCAGTCTCCCTCCTCCTGCCTCCCATCAGCTGCTCTCTGCTGCCTTCACTCAGGTGCTTCAGAGGATAAGATCACACCGGGTCTGCCTGTCCTGAACCCCCCCTGCAGACAGGAATCCGTGTTAAAGTGATTCTGCAAGAAAAAGGCAGAAGAATTAAAGCAAAGTCAACAAATGTGCCTGCTTACTGAAACTACTTGGATTCATAATCATTCAGAAAAGTGAGAATATTAATGGATTTATATTATGAATTCATGACACGATTGTGTTTACATCAAAATAATGTGTGTTAAATGTATGTTTGTGTTTATTGAGATCCCCATCAGCATGCTGCTTTCATCCTGAGGTGGGTTTACATAAAATATACAGATTACATTTACAAAAATCTTATTATAGATGAAATATTAAATTAGCAGATTCCGTATTCCCAGTGGTGGAGCCAGACATTTTTCTCAGGGGTGGACTGGGACCACTACTCACCCAGGGGTGGCCAGACTGGGACCACTACTCACCCAGGGGTGGCCAGGAACATTACATCATTTTTTTACTTGAAAGTTTCTGCAAATCTTTGTGTTTTGGTCATTTCCTTATGTCCTTATAGGCAGTGACCTTATAAACATGGGTGTTAGAAGCATTTTAAAAGTGGGGGGACACACTGCTGGGGGGTCTGAATAAACACTTGATTTAATAATTATTTCAGAGACAGATTCTTCATTAAACTAGTTTCATCATCCTGTTTTAAACTCACTGCTTTGGCTGAGATAAGATTAATTAATGTGACAATTTATCATAACAAATGACTTTAGGGGTGTTTTTTACTTTTATATTATTTATTGATTTATTTTTTTATTTTAACAGGTCATTGTGCCAAATAATGATGACCTTCAACTTCATGTTTAAAATGTAATAACTTTACCCAATGTCAGATGCAATACTGATACTCACCAACAGTGAAATTAAAGGGGCATTTCACTTTTTGTGATTTAGTGATAGGTCTACTCTTAACCAAAAGGGACAGAGCATCATGCAGCCTTCAGAACATAAAATGACACTGTGTTATGGTGACAAAAATACAAAACAAAAACACTTGTCACCATAAGTCAGATTACATAGGCATATTAAATAAATCAATCACTTYTTTGGCACGTCTTTGAGCTTGGTGATGTTTCAAACTGTTAAACACTGCCACCAACTGTTCAGGAGGATTATTACACCCCTAAAGGTTGTTTCACTGTGGAAGGGGTGTGTACAGCAGGGTGGCCAAAGATTTGTCTGTGGTGGCCATGGACACCTCTGGCCACCCCCTGGCTCCACCCCTGCATATCCCATCATTGTTAAATAAAGACACAGACATCAGTTTAATATAGGGAAATAATTTAAATTTCTCTTACATAAAAAGTGTATGTCGTAAAAGCACATACATGTAGCTATAGCATCTCTACATTCATCAATACACAACACACACATACATCTATTAAAAAWTATTAATCTTTTTATAGTATATTTTCAGTTGCTGTAACTGTAAGCAGTATTTTGTTTAATGTCTTGTGATTTTACATTCATGCATTGCTGTTATTTATGTTTTAGTTCAATAAAAACAATATATATA